TGAATAGATAAGAGATGAACAGAGAGGTGATAGATGAGAAGAGGAATAGATGAAGTTTGGTTTGATTTGTTGTTGAGAGATGAGATAGTCGCAAAAACCGATAAATTTAGCGCCAAAATTAATTTCAGAAGCTAAAGAGTCTGAAAGAGAAAAGAGAAAATGGTTTAGAATTTTAGACGTGGATTATACACGTGGGCTAGACACGTCAAGTCGTCCCCAAAGTCGTCATTTTTAGTAGTCAGCGTAGAGTTACTCTATTTTTCTTGATCCAACGAATTACACGTTTCACAACATTATTATTCGTTTTTCTATTCTATTTATACACGCAAGTCTTACTTAACAGTTTTGAACAACTGAATCAATCTAATGGATTCCGGTCAAATTCTTCTGCTTATACTTATTTCCGGTTTGATTCCCGGCGTTATTCCTCAATCAATAATCAAATTCTCGCCGGAAAACAAAATTCCAACTCACCTCAATCTCAACCGGAAAATTCTAAGAGATGATCTTCTTTTTTGCAAAAGCTGGAAGTTCACTGTGGAAGCTAATGATGCCAATCCATGGAAACAAGTTCCAGAAAAATGTACTGATTTTGTTAAGGATTATTTGACCGGAGATCAATTTGTTTCAGATTCCAGCTTAGTTGCTGATAATTCACTGGCATTTGCAAAAACTGTTGAAATCGCCGGCGATAGAAAGGATATTTGGATTTTCGACATAGATGAGACTCTGCTTTCGAACTTGCCGTATTATGCCGTTCATGGTTTCGGGTATGTTATTAACATATTAAGTGAATCTTAAGTCTTTGATTATGTTTAGTTCACTTCTTGAGTTTATTGTTAGTAGACTTATAGCTTTGTAGTTAAGTGAAAACTGAAAACTATAGACATTATTCATGCACACACCAAATTGATTGCAATTGCAATTGAGGTTTGTTATTCTAGCTCTCGTCTTTTGATTTCCGATAGAGGACTAGTGACATCTTGATTATTATTTTCACCTATGCTATATAGTATACTTCCCTAGCAGAGTTAGCAAATCTAGCTACAATGAGTTTGGAGTTTCCAATTGTTGAACTTGGTAGCAGCTATATCTGGGGTAATGTTTGCCTGCTGCCGTGTGCTAGAGATCATCAGGTAGTGTAGTACTCCAAGACCCTCTCCTGCATCTGCATATACCCATCTGGACTTGATTCTCCATCTACATTCTTTTCTGGTTGCCATCTCTAAGCCTTGCAACACTGCTTGTAGTTGTATGTATGACCTCTATGTTCGTGCTTTCTATATATGGTTCCATTCCCGCTAACGTTAGGATTGTTAGGACACATTGATTTTGATTATATCTGGTTCATTGCTTCTCTTAAATATTTGTGTATATTTCTATCCTTTCGAAAACTTCTATCGGATACTATGTGTCTTGAGAATCCAAAAGATGCAACACGTTGAATCTTCTCCATTTTTTGGAAATGCCAAGTAGCTCCTTTTAAGTGTACAGCGAATTGCCTATAATCGCATTAGGTTATTTTCCTAAAAAATCCAACATTTGGAACAATTTAAAAACTTTCTATATCTTGCGAGTATGTAAAACTGTCTTCAAGGGAGCTCCACAATATGGTGATCACTGATAAGGCTGATATCTCAAATGGCAGTGAACATTTAGAGATAGGTCCATAAGAATTAAGATACCCCCTCCCCTCTCTTCTTTCTCTATGCTCATTCTCTTATATCCGTTAGAGACTTGGTTTCTGATTACAACAGTTAACCAACATCTACTTTAACATATTTATAAGAGAATGTAATTAGGATATCTTTGGTTGAGCTTAACTGCTTTTCTAGAGCTCGGCATATGTTACAGTACTAAAATCCATGATCGTGTTTCAGTGTTTGGATACACGGAAAGTCAAGTCCAAGTTACTATCAGAAGACTTTATTTAGTCTATTTTTAGTTATTATAATATTAAAATACAATTTATAAATGTCCTAAATTCATTGTGCATTTGTGCGTAATGGACTCTCTTAAAGAAGACTTTTATATTATCAATATTACTTTCCAGAGCATTGTATATGTAAGTATGTAACAAGAACAGCCTTCATATTCGGTGTCATTAGGTGTAACAATTATTGTTAAGCCTTGTTCCAGAAGTCTGATCTTTAATTTTAATTTCATATTCTTGTGATCATGCCTCGATGAATTGCCAATGGCACTCTTATATTTAACTGACAATAGGTCTTTGAATGTTCATGTTATTGCTTTCGGTCTGAATAAATCTTGGTGGCACTCGTAGCACAGAGCTTTTCGATGAAACCACATTCAATGAGTGGGTAGATTTGGTAGAGTGCCCGGCATTGCCAGCAAGTCTAAGGCTGTACAATGAGCTACGACGTTTGGGCTTCACCATAATTCTTTTGACAGGGAGAGATGAACATCAAAGGAATGGTACAGTGAAAAATCTCATCTCTGTAGGGTACCAAGAATGGGAGAGGCTCATCTTACGGTATGTATATGTTGTTTGTTTTACTTTTCACCTGAAACCATTAGGATATGTGAATAATTGGTGGCTAACCGAGTTCAATAATTGTGTGTGCTATTCAGGGGGCCTTCCGATCATGGGAAAACAGCTGTGATATATAAATCAGAGAAGAGAATGGAGCTGGAAACCGAAGGTTACAGGATTCATGGCAGCTCTGGAGATCAGTGGAGCGACTTGTATGGTTCTCCAATCGCTACTCGATCCTTCAAACTCCCGAACCCTATGTATTACATTGCTTGATTCCAGTTTAATCACAAGCATTGCTTCAGTTGTGCTGTTATTCCTTTCCATTTTTTACTGGATAGATGATGTTTCAGAAAAGCTCTGATTCATTGGTTTTTTCTTTTTTGGGAGAAGCTCTGATTCATTGTTAATACTTGGTTGGAATAATTCTTTTTACTTAATATGTGGAGTAGACCCTGATATTATAATTTTGGGCAGGTGTTTTAATAATG